CTCACTTATCAGGGTTTGGTTCTAGAATCCACATATGAGGGAGAACATACATCGATTTTTTTTCTAAGTCTCTGTTACCTCACTTAGTATAACAGTTTCTAGTTTCATCCATTTACCTGCAAATTTCATGATTTCATCTTTCTTTACTGCTGAGTAAACTCCATCATATAAATGAACCACATTTTCATTATCTACTCGTCAATTGAGGGACACTTAGGTTGCTTCCATCTCTTAGCTATTGTGAAAAGAGCAGCAACAAACATGGATGTACAAGTGTCTCTGCAATAGGATGAGTTCTTTGGGTATATGCCAAGGAGTGGTATAACTGGGTTATGGGCGACTGCGCTCTGGGCGCAGGGTGCGCTCACTCCCTGCGGGTCCGCAGACTTCTCTGGGAAGCGGTGGCTCCGGGACTTCTCCAGCGGCTGCTTTGGGTCCCGTGTCTCTGGGAGTGAGGCAGCTGGTGGCTGTCGTAACTTCTCTGGTGCTGGGAGCTTGCTCTGCTACTGGAGCATTGTCCAGCCTGAATCCTGTCCCTACTACACCCGTGTACCTTTCCTCAGGATTGCGGGGTTCCTGGCCACTGAATCCCACAGGGAAGAGCACGGAGACGGCGAAACTGGGATATCCGTAGGTCGGTAACGGAAGGTGCTGCCCTCCGGGGGAATCAGGTCGCCGGTACACAAGACTCAAGGCTCGGCTTAGTCTGTGCTTACAGCTTTATTCTCTCTGGGACCCAATCTCTGAGACCCAGAATCCCAAAATCCCAAATCCCAAATCCCAATGTCCCAAATCCCAAATCCCAAATATTAAGAGAAGGCTAGGATATTTTATACCATGGGGGTATAAACCCCCCCCCCATGGGGGTTGTTAGATTCTATTTACATGTGGAAGTGGATTTCTGCCAGACAGTTGTCTGCTAGGAAAATTACAGGAAGACATGGTATCTTTTCAGAGCCAAAGGCCATGTTTATGTCAAGGCATCTGTGGCGGCCACTTCAAAGGGAGAGACAGGAAAGATGCCAGAAAGCACCTTGCTATGAAAAGGAGCCCATAGCACATTCCCGAGCTGCATGAGCTGTCCGGTGTGAAGGGGCTTCGACTTTTGCATAACAGAGGTCTCCCAACACTGGGTCAAATGGTAGGTTCATTTGTAGTTTTTTAAGACTTCACCACACTGCTTTCCATAGGGGTTGAACAAGTTTGCAGCCCCACCAGGCTGCTAGCCCAATTAACCAAAAGAAGAAAGAGTACCTCCAAATCAACAAAATCAGAGATGAAAGGGGAAACATCACAACAGACACCAGAAAGATACAGAACATTATAAGGGAATACTTTAAAAACCTATATGCTACTAAATTTGGAAACCTAAAAGAAATGGACAGATATCTAAAGGCATGGGAACCACCAAAACTAAACCAAGAAGAGATTAACAGCATAAACAGACCCATAACACAAAAAAAATTGAAACAGTAATACAAAACCTCCC